CTCTGTGAAGAGCGGAGATGTAGTGCATCTGGTCAAGGAGGGGGACGATGGACAGTGGTGAGGTTACAACCTTATATTATCTATGTGAACTAATAAAAAAAATCTATAATTTAGAAGCATTGGTTTAACTATACTTTTGTGTCTAGGCTTGTGCGTAACTTAAACACATCTAAGGAGGGTTGGATTCCTGCTGCTAATCTTATCAACCTCATTGGAAAATCAAAGTCTTGTCAGTCTCTCACCAGCTCAGGTATTCTAAGAAACAGTCCCAAATAAATCATGTCAAAATCCAACATGCATTTGTTACACATGCATTAACTCCTCAATGTGGCTGTGTTTCAAACAGAAGGCAGTGGCTCTGGGAACCTCAGCACATCATCTAGCTGCAGTGAGACCTACACAAGCTTCTCTGATATCAAACCCTGAAAATACTCTGCACTTTCTTCATCATCAAACTGCCATCATTCCTACATCATGTGGCTATCTGTACCGTTTTGCCAGCATATGTAATCATGAATTTTGTCAATTTTCCACAGAAAACAGAAGTTACAAAGGTAACTATAGTTTTATGAATTCTAGGATCACTGCCGGTGGCAGTAAACAAAATGTCTCCTCATAGTCTGCACGTGTTGAAATCTTATATAAACAAAATCATATGCATGATGTGTAGGCTACCTGTGCATATGCACTATAAATAACTTGGTAGGCTACATATGAGCTCTATGAAACTTCTCATGCTGAAATTTTCCAAGTGACCAGCATGACTGGCAATCATCTTGGGTTTCACAGAACCACAGTCATCAAACTTCTGTACTGTTTTACTTCTTCCTTACTGCCAGTGGCAGTAAACAAAGTGGATGACTTAAAGCAGCATCAAGAGGAACAGACAACTTCTAGTCAACCAGTGGCTGGTAACGTGAATCCACAGGCTGACAGAACCTCACAAATGTACAGGGTGTTCCCCAAGATGCCGCTACACAGATTACACAGATGGGACACCCCACATTGCTCTCCAGGAGGTGGCCGCACCCCTGGTTGAGTGACAGACGACACCTGAAGAATGCAGGCACACCTGCTATTCCATATGCCTGTTTCATCATGTTTACAGCTCAGTGGGAATGCCCCAGTATGAACACATCTTTTCTCTTGTTCTTTTCATTATAAGAAATCAAAGACAGGTCCCATGTTGCAGTGCCCCCCCATGTCCCAATGTTCAAGGTCCTAGCACACCTGCCATAATAGGAAAAGACCAGCAGAGCTTCAGCTCTTCCAAAAAGCTCTTCTTCTGAGTTGCCAATAGCAAATACAAACCAGCCACACCTTTAAGAGGGCAAAGACTGCACTCTGACAATGACAGTCTGAATGACAACCTCCTACCCCTTACTCCAAGGGATGCTTACCTCCTGAACATAGATTATAGATCATTAATTATCAACCTAAAGAACAATTAACCAAGAAAAAACACCGGGCTGACAGCATGAAAATCAACGGGGGTGGGCGACCAGGGGGTATTTCCATCACATTTTAGCATATAGGATCTCACCCTGTGTGGCATATGAGGAGACATATTTGCTGTGTTTTCCTGCCATTGGCAGTCATGAGTTAATGAAACAAAACTGCATTTTTATTTAATTTTTCTAACCTCTCACATACACTGCACATTCAGAATGTTATACATTTACTGTGAAGGAACAAAACACATGCATATGGTAATTTCACTGTATAGATCTGTCATGGAGACAGAAGATCCACGTGCTGATAATGTAATAGATGTATGAATGGGCCAGCAGGACTGATCTCAGCAAATGCATCTATTTATGCTCACACTAAAAGCGGGGAGAGGTTAGTGGACAACAGCTGTCTTTGTGTTCACATGCACTAATTTCTTCAGGAGTTCATATTTTAACTCTGAATGAGAAAGAGGGCAATGTCCACTTTCTTTAGCTTGAATGAATTTTTCCTGAGAGCCAACTCTCTGTCCACTTTTTAAAAAAAAAAAAAGTTTATTTATTTGTATGAAGCACCCACAGATATTCATCCACTCTTTAATTTTATTGTTGTCTGTAAACTCTCCTCCTGTCTGCTGTCAGTCTGTCATTAGAAACCTGTTCTGTCACCAGCTCTCCAGAGTTTGTGTGTGTGAGCTTTTGTCCTTTTGCTTTTGTCTCTGATAGCCTGGTCAAACTCTTTGTGCATTTTCATATATGCTACAGTTTTACAAATGTATCCATGTGAATAATGGGAGATCACTGTATAGGCTAACTTATTCCCAGCAGAGGGAAAATGTTTGGAATGTAGATATTGTTTATTAATATGTGTCTGTCATGTTTGTTAAAGGAGATGCTATATTGTACATTAAGTATGGTGATGTCACTGCTTTGTGACTTGTCCAGTTTTGTTTTTTTTTACATAAATGACTTGTGACAATTCACTTACTGTCTCTCTCTCTCTCGGTGCTGAGATGTAATCTGAAGCCTTCTGTTTTTGATTTCTGAGTCATCCTGAAACATGTCTGTAACCAGCTGTTTCTCAAAGAGTTGTGGTTAACGGGTTGCCAGGTATTTTTCTCCCTTCTTTCTTCTCTAGCCTCTCTCTTCCTCTCTCATCTCTCTCTCTCTCTCTCTCTTTCTCTCTCTCTCTCTGTTCTCATCATCTATATCTCATCTATATATTTATATCATCTTTTGTCTCTCTCTCTTCTCTCTCTCTCTCTCTGTCTCTCTCTCGTCGTCTCTCTTCTCTCTCTCTCTCTCTCTCTCTCTCTCTCTCTCTCTATCTCTCTCTCTTATCTCTCTCTCTTATCTCTCTCTATCTCTCTCTCTCTCTCTCTCTCTCTATCTCTCTCTCTATATCTCTCTCTAGATATCTCTCTCTAGATATCTCTCTCTAGATATCTCTCTCTAGATATCTAGATAGATATAGATATAGATATCTATATATAAGAAACTTTTCTAAAATAGTATTAAGGATCATTTCCTTAGATAGACAATGGGTTGAACCGTGAACTAATATAGTTTGCAATGTAGGTTGCTTTTGCCTCCACTTTTTTTTTCCCAGCCAGAGAACATTTTTATTACTAATTTTTTTTAAAAAAATACAAAATATTGTATTATCGATTAATATCATAGCTCTATATTCACCGGAAATAATAAGCCGATAATGAATCTTATTTGGTTAGTTAGTCAAAGGTTAGTTAGTTTTTTTTTCTTGTCGGGTATTAAAGTGAAGGTAACCTAAAAATAGTTATCCAAAGAAGATGGATATTAGTCGCAATTTCGCATCAGTTTCTCTCTCCGTCGATTGAAATGCGTTTCCATGCGGTGGTGACTGAAAGGAGGATGTTTCTGATAGAACCTGGCAACCCCAAAGAAATGGGCGGCGAAGTAGATAAGAAATCGTTTTTGAACAGCAGCGCTGATTCAACATGGACGCATGCGAGCAAGCCTGATAGAAAAAGTGGAAGCGGTGTGTTTGTCGGTAAAAAATGAGCAATAGCAGAGTGGCCTGCATACTTTGTCAGCGATCCAAAGAGACGAAGATAACCGGAACCTTGTCGACTAAAGATGAAGTCACGGCTCACCAGAACTGCCTGGTAAATACAAGCACGCTTCTTTTGTTCTTCGTCTTTATTTCGTGTGTAACGACGAGGACTTGATTCACCGCTCAGTGCAGCGGTTAAGTCCACAACGTAACTGTGGACAAGAAGTGTGGAAAAGTTATAAAAATAACGCACACGAGTAATTTTTCCTGACGCCTTTAATTTCCTTATAGGCCCTACCACCTTTGATAAACGTACAAATTGATTCATGCAAATAAACTTTCCAGCAGTTTAAAGATGAGTTCTGTTGCAATTGCTGTAACATTAAAATGCGACGATTAACACTAATCGGCACAGTTTGTGCCGTATATGCTTCTAATGGCATCATAGTGGATACAGATGAAGGTGGTACGTTCTTAAAAAGCAGGAAAACACTGCCATAACTGATTTCCAAGGGTTGCATGTAGTTCTGCTGTCCTCCTGGCTCCTCTTAAAGCTATTTTTGTCAGTGTCACTGAGACTTTTTATGTGGACAAATAAAAGATATATAAAAGTCATTTTGCCAAAAACTGATTGCAGCTTCTACCTTGTGGCTCAAGATGACTTTATATTATTCATGAGGGATACATTTTTTTTTTTTGGCAAATACTAGAAATCTGTTTTTGGTAGGCAATCGCTTTTTTGGCCCAGCAGCATCAAAAGGCCTGAAAGACCACAGAAGACAACTAAAGTGTGTGATCACACAAATTCTTTCTTTGGTTGAGAGAAAAAAAACAACTTGATAACATGTCAAATCAAATCAAATCACTTTTATTGTCACATCACATGTGCAGGTACATTGGTACAGCACATGTGAGTGAAATTCTTGTGTGCGAGCTTCACAAGCAACAGAGTTGTGCAAAATACAATAATGTAAACAAGCAAAATACAAGAATGGCTACATCTGAAACTAATAAATATATGTACAATATATAATAGTATATGCATTTCTGGATGTGTATACTAAATATTTTTCTACGTGTGTGTGTGTGTGTGTGTACACATATTTACAAATTAAATAGAGTAAACAATAAATAAATATTATAAAAATATACAGAGTGAGACATGTGCAAAACAGTCGGCATTACTGTACAGTATGGAGTGCATAATGTTAAAGTTCCAGTAGTGAAGCTGAGGTGTCTATGACGTGTTCAGCAGTCTGATGGCCTGGTGGAAGAAGCTGTCTCTCAGTCTGCTGGTACGGGACCGGATGCTGCAGAACCTCCTTCCTGATGGAAGTAGTCTGAACAGTTTATGGCTGGGGTGACTGGAGTCCTTGATGATCCTCCCCGCTTTCCTCAGGCACCGCTTCCTGTAGATGTCTTGGAGGGAGGGAAGCTCACCTCCAATTATCCGTTCAGAGCACCGCACTACTCGCTGGAGAGCTTTGCAGTTGTAGGCGGTGCTGTTGCCATACCAGGTGGTGATGCATCCAGTGAGGATGCTCTCAATGGCACAGTGATAGAAGGTCCTGAGGATGCGGGGGCTCATGCCGAATCTTTTCAGTCTCCTGAGAAAGAAGAGGCGCTGCTGCGCCTTCTTCACTGTTTTGTTTGTGTGTACTGACCACGTAAGATCCTC